GCTCATGTGTTTGACCGGTGGCTGGTCACGGTCCACCCAGCTGGGAGACGGCCTCTCCCTCAGGGCCCCACTCTCCTCATTGTTGCTGACCTCAAAGCTGTCACCTGGGGTTAAAAAACAAATCATGCAGGGGGGTTAATCATTACACAAAGTGAATACAGTCAATGCTTTGTATGGGCATTACAAGAAAAGCTCTCTTCCCTACCGGCTGGTTGCTCAGCCAGGTTGTGGGTGATGATCTGGCAAATGCGTGTGGTGATGGGTACAGGTGTGGCTTTGGATGCTTGTAAATCACTTTGAAGTGTCAGACTCCTTTCTTCTGAGCTGCCACTTGAGTGAAGCAGAGACTCCTCCAGCTTCTACAATCACACCAATCAATCCATCACATTGAGAGCAACACCTACAGCCCAACAAATGGCTGTACTGCAGAGTAGAAATGGTCAGATTGCACACTCATTTGTTCACGAGCTAGACACCTTGTCTACTTAATACAAGATTTAAGAAGTTCCTTTTTGATAAATTCTATAGTTGTATACATATTGAGTTGAATTGTGTTATCCTAGTGCCTCACTGGGTTGGGATTGTTTGGAAACTACAATGCAATCAAGTGGCCAGCGAGTCTTGAGGCTGCATTTTAAATACTCATTTTTTGTAAATTTGAACTTTCTTTAGTTTGCACACCTTGCAAAACCTCATTCTAGACCATGCATTTTATTTTGTTGCTTAAATCAAACCCACCTAGGCTCGTCTTGTTCCCACTTGTGCCTCTTTTCCACCACTCCTACTCAGCCCTGCTCAGATCAGCTCTTGCTCCCACATTTGATTTAATCTGCTGAAGTACACCTTAGAAATAAAGATGGACAAATTTGAACCAGATTTCAGTGCACCTTCTGCGGTATTGCAGACTCTGTGCCGGTCCATTGTGGTGAAGAGGGAGCTGAGCGGCAAGGAGAAGCTCTCTGTTTACCGGTCAGCCTACGTTCCTACACCCACTTGTTTGTTTATTTGTTTGCACAAAAAGAAACAACACATAAAAGAAAAGTTAAAAAAAGAAAATGTGCAGGAGAGGTCATAAAAACCCTAGTTGGGCTTAGAAGTGCCCCCCCCCCCAAAAAAAAAAAAAAAAAAATTAAAAAAAATCATAAAAGCTTTATACATAAGCTTACATCTTACTTTAAACACACCCAATTACATACCAAAGCAAAAGATAATAGTTTATATTAAATAAAAAAAAAATTTTATGACCTCTCCTGCACATTTTTTAAAACTTTTCTTTTATGTGTGTTGTTTCTTTTTGTGCAAACAAATAAACAAACAAGTTGGGGTAGGAACGTAGGCTGACCGGTAAACTTATGGCCACAAACTCTAGACAGTGACCAAAACAACAAGATTGCAGCAGATACAATCAGTCAAAATGAGTTTTCTTCACGGGGTAGCTAGACTCTCCCTTAGAGAGCGCCTCGGTAGGTGGTGAGCGCCTGAGGTGCACCAGGCATGTCTAACTGGGTGGAGACCCAGGAAACGATGGAGACTGATTGTCACTTGGCTGGACTGAGAATCCATTGGTGTCCTCCCAGAAGAGCTGAAGAGGTGGCTGAAGATGTCTGGGCCTCCCTGCTCACGCAGCTGCCCCCAATACCAGACTCCAGAACAAGCAGAATAAGATGAATGGCAGTTTGGACCAGTATTTTCTATATTAGACAAGGACATTTGCTTAAGATACTTTTTTTTTGTCAGAAGAGAGTTCCTGTGCAGGAGACAAAAATCTATTTTAACATGTCAAACTCAAGCAACAAATCTCACGTGAGGAAACTGAGAGCCCTGCAAAAGTCCCAGGTATTCTGGAGTCTCCCTCGTGAATGTTTACCTTCTAGTTGCAGCCCAGTGAGATACTATCTTTAGTTCTGCATAAACTGCAGAGGATGTACTGTTCTCATGTCCTTACGCAACTGTCTTCACTCTATTCTCTATGCATGTCTTTGCAAATATAGCTGCCATTAACTTTGTGTTTTCTGTTTTTATTCCTGTAGGAATTACACCTGACCTTGCTCAAGGTGTTAGATAACTTTTAATAATGTTCTTTTACAAGACTGGAAATTCATGAATTTATGACTTTAAACTGAATCTGATTGTAATGTATTGTAACTGGATTTCAATTCAATTCAATTCAAAAATACTTTATTAATCCCAAAGGGAAATTATTTGTTGTAGTAACTTGTTATCCTCATTTCGTTAAGAGATGTTATAGACACTGATGGCTGTAGGCAGGAAGGATCTCTTGTAAAGATCCATCCCACAGTGGATCCTAAGAAACCGGCTGCAGATGCCGTCTGATCCATCCACCCAGACTCGGCTGGTTTCTCGGTTCCCCCGGGCTGGACCGCCTGAATGCCGTGCAGAACTCCTCCCAGAGCGATGGTCACTCCTCCCAGCAGCTGCTGAGCTCCTCGTAGCTGTGGACAGCCAACTGTAGGTGCCGAGGGACGATCCTGTCCTTCCGCTGTCATAAGCCGTGTTTCCTGCTAGTTCCAGGATCTCAGTGATTCAGATTTTAATCTGAATCAATTTTACCAAAGTGACTCACAAATACATAATCACAAGGCTTGTTTATACAGAAACAAACAAACAAACAAAAAAGGACAATTTCCATCCATCCATTGTCTTTACCCGCTTCTTCCTTTTCGTGTCACAGAGGTAACTGGCACCCATATTCAGCTATAACTGGGATGCAGGCGGTGACACCCAGACAGGGATTTGACCCTGCGACCTTCTCACTGAGAAGCCAGAGTTTTACTAACTGAGCCACCGTGCTGCCAAAATTACAACTTGAAAAAAATAAATAAATCATTGTCACAACCTATTTTATATAAAATGCACCAGTTTTCTTTCTGGAAACATATAACTTTAGTTGTGAATATGTGCAATATAAAATTAACTGAATTGATTTGTCATGCTACCTTTCTGAATATTTCTTATTAATGTAACAGAACAAATTAGTTTCCTGAGTGTTGAGTATTTGTTAGTGAAAATAATCTGGATAAAATCGATAAATATCTGAAGCACTACTGAAAAGTTTAAACTTTTGCCAGTTTTATCTGTAAAGTAAAATAATATAATGTAACCCCATCTCTTTCATTAGCTGTGTGAATTACATTTATTGTCATAACGTGTTACGTAAAGATTTCTCCTGAAAAAATGAGCAGGAACTGGGAAAACCAGAACGAGTTTAACAAAATATTGTCAATTTCAGATTAATTAAGAATGAGTTAACTAAATAAATCTTTTTATTCACTTAGGACATAAGCATCGACTTTGTTTAATTACTTACACCTGTGCTTGCTCGACAGTCACAGGGCCTTCCTTTTTATACAGATTTTAGTGGATTATATAAAATATCAAACGGTGTAAAAGTCTTTTACTAACCTGAATCACGGCCTCGAGTCTTGGTGAGTGTTCTTCCTGCACTTGTTGACTACTCATTGCCACTTTTGCCCGGTTTTTACCACATAAAAATACTTTAGTGAAACTTTAATGGCTCTGCTCGCTTCAAGCTAGCTAGGTTTTGTGCTGCTTAGCTTCTGCAGAGAGCTCACGCGACGCAAAACTCCACGTCATTAAAAATAAAAATAAATAAAGGACAGGTGTGTCGACGCCACGCGAAGAAATGCGTGAGAATAAGTTTAAATGATAAACTATTGGGGAAGTTAAACTTTCAGAACGACAGCAGCCATATTGAACTGTAGTGATTGTAGTCCGGTCGCTATGGGAAAGCATGCGCCGCTGGTCCGTTGTCATAGCAACAGGATGCTGGCTCATTGTTTTCATGGGCGGGGCAGGGTTAATGGTCAGCCACTGCAGCTACAGCAGTCTTCTTTATAGAAACATTTACAGATAGAAAACCGACTTTTGGGGGAATGCCTTTAATTTAACAAGTAGTGAAGAAGACAACTAAAATTGACTTTTTATTTTTATTTTATTTTATTAAAGCAGTTTCACTGAAAACAGTTTTTGCTAGTTTTTATGATATACAAGATCCATACAATAACAAAAAGAGGAACTCAGCTCTCAAACACAACACCAAAGATAAAATGAAGCACCTGCTGAGCAGTAGATGATAATACCTGAGGATCATGTAACATACTACTCTGAGGCACAATAACATCTGGGGCTAGACATCCAGATGCATGCTCAATAATCCAGGTAGATAAATCCAACAAGGTTAAGTCAGATACTCTGGATGGATTGTTCTTGTTGAAACGTTTTGTCTTTTATCCAAAAGATTTCTTCAGTTTTCTTTAGACAGACTAAGTCAGGGGTCTGCAACCTTTAGGATCAAAAGAGCCTTTCTGCCCTTTCGTTCACTAAATTAAACGTGTCCAGAGCCACAAAACCTGCTACAACTGTCATCATTATCAACTGGTGGCCCATGGGCCACTTTAAGTCTGTTAGAGGGGGCTTTTCTGGCAAGTAGGTGTGAAATTATAAAACTTAAAAATATCCAGTGATTGTTAACATTTGTTGATATTTTTACATTTTGACACCAAAGAAAATCCAGAAAAAATCCATCCATCTATTTATCCGTCCGTCCGTCCGTCCAGTCACCCATCCATCTTTCCTCGTTTTTTTCCTTTTCGGGTTGCAGGAGGTGGCGCCCAAATCCAGGTTGCAATATATATATTGAACTGTGCAGGCTTATTTATTTATTGTGGAGAGATTGAGTATCCTACTTTGAAGAAATAAAGCGTAAAGTTAAAGCGAGTATAATTTACTCTGTGTACTAATATATACACATATTTGTAAAGAAAAACGGCTAAAACTGGTAATTTTTTGTTGTGGCCATAACATCCTATAAAATTCAGTTTTGTGTTAGTTTTGGTCAAAGCTTGAAAGAGCCGTTGCAGAGAGACCAAAGAGCCGCATGTGGCTCCAGAGCCACAGGTTGCAGACCCCTGGACTAAGTCTTTTGGATAAAAGATGAAATGTTTCAACAAGAGGAATCCATCCATTGGACCTGTCTTAACCTTGTTAGATCCTGGGACAGACACTAATTTATTTATGCTTTGACAACAGATGTAAGAAGAATATGTCTCTGAACTCTTTGACTCAAAAGTTTAATCAGTTTCAGGACAAGGCGTCACTGTGTTGCATCTCTTGGAGAAAGCTCAGGCCATTGGGATGGATCTAAGAAGATGGTGCTAACTCCGCTGTAGAACCACAGTCTTGGAAGGAAGCACTCCACTTCCCAAGTGTTTGTCGCCCGATTGTAAACCTCCACTTCCACCCCATAGTCACCCTCCATTCCTTTCCAATGGCCGCCGGTGACAAACAGCTTTCCATCCACAGTTACCAGACCGCCGTTCTCGTGGAGCATGTGAAGAGGCTGGATCTGAACGAGAAGGACACGTCAAACATACTGAAGATTTCAAAAGACGATCTGCTTGTTCTGGTGCTTTAAACTTCACATTCCTACAATGGGCTAGCTCAATTTGTTCACAGTTAGCAGGCATCTCTGAACCAACCTTCTGCCACATGTTTGCCTCTGGATCATATGAATAGACTTTCTTAGTGTTATCAGCCACAAGGTATATATTTCCATCCACACAGACTGAACGAGGGGAGGACAAATACTTAGGGATGAAGGGTGACCATACACTAATCCAGTTATCTACAAAATGAAATACAGGTCAAATATCAGACAGAAAAAAGACATCTGTACTGAACTGTGCTCACTAAATGTGAGAAACAGAGTTACATGTGACAGCAGTGATATGCTAGTCCTTACCTATGACAGGGTTGTAGCACTGCATGGTCAATGCATTATACTTCACTGCACATGAGCCGATCACATACAGCTTCCCATGACAAGCTGAGGCCGTGAAGTTAGTCACGTACTTCAAGGCAGGACACGTCAGTGTCCACGTGTTATTGTAGGGATCGTAATGCTCAACCTCAACTCTGTCCAGTGTTGTGCCTAAAGTGGAAACATTCAAATCAGACATTTATTTATATTTAGTTGGAGTTTAAGCATCACCAAAAATGTTCTTTATATATATATATATATATATATAAAATCATGTTAGCAGTGCAGTCTTGTAAACAAGAATAGAGATAAACTGGATTTTGAATTCTGTACAGCTCTGCAGGTTTGAAGCATCTTTATTCATTTTACCTCCAATGACGTAAATCTCTCCATTGAGGGTTGCTGTCGTGTGGTTAGTGCGAGGCCGGAGCATGGGTGCCACGGTAACCCACTTTCCCTCTCTTGTGATGTACTTCCAGGTTTCTGTGGTTGACCAGGTGTTGGTGTTTGCACCTCGGGAGCCTCCTGTCACACAGCCAGGAGCACTTCGTCAAAACTCTGACAATATTTTGAATTTCTCACAAGAAAAGCTAAATGGTAAAATGTGTAGTCTACTTTTTTCCTGGAAAGTAACAGTTTGAACATTTCAAAGTGAATTTCTGTGTAAAAGTAGTGAACAATAAATTCTTATCTGACGCCGATAGCTCCATTTGTACAACGTTTTATGTGGATACGACTGAAGAGCTAACAAGCAGCAAAGACCAAAATGGACTGTGTCCATCTTAAAACAACCACAGCTCCCAGTTTCACAGCAGTTCAATGAAAACACAGTTTTATAAACCAACACAATCAGTTTCATGGTTAGTTGCACTGAATTCTGTGGTGATTTTCAAACATCAGCAACACGACCATCATTTAGAATCTGCCTTGAAATTAGTACAGTTTCTCTTCAGCCAGCCAGCCAGCCAGCCATCCATCCAACCATTCAGCCAGCCAGCCATCCAACCAACAGTCCATCCATCCATCCATCCAACCAACCAACCATCCATCCATCCAACAATCCATCCATCCAACCATCTATCCATCCAACCAAACAACCATCCATCCATCCAACCAACAATCCATCCAACCAACCAACCAACCAACATCTATCATCCAACCAACCAACCATCCATCCATCAACTATCCAAACATCCATCCATTAACTATCCAACCATCCATCCAACCAACCATTCAACCAACCATTCAACCAACCAACCAACCAACCAACCAACCAACCATCCATCCATCCATCTATCTATGTATCTGTCTGTCTGTCTGTCTATCATTTCATCCATCCTTCCAACATCCATCATCCATCCAACAATCCATCTATCCACAAATACATTATATATATATATATATAT